CGTGCATCTTGGGTACAATAGGCTGCTTTTCTCCTCGGGACAGTATCATAGAAAGACAATAGGCTCATGAGTAGTTCGCGACCCCTAGACCGGCATGTCCTCCGATAGTCCGGGAGATCGCCAGAGGTGCACTACCGGATATCTGCTAGTATCGTATGAGAAGGAAAGGGTACGTGGTCGTTGATCTTTCGCAACAGTGACTTCATGATTCTTGGTCGCGAGGAAGTAGGGCCACGGAGGCACCCCTTAAAGCATCAAAATCTCCCCACAACCGGTCCTGTAATCCCCACAAGTACCATGTACAATACTGGAATGATGTCGTGCCCAGTTGTTCTGATCCGGAGCGTGCGAATAGGCGCAAACTGATTCCAAACCGCCTATGACCATGCAGTGCAACTTCATTTGATGCCCGTCTGCGACTTTGCCACAAACAGTGCAAATAAATGCTTCTTTAACGCAAACGATGTTGACAATAGCTGGGTAATGACAAGAACGTCACTTTGCGTCCCGTTTGGTACAGTAAACCGACCGCTTGTGAAAGTTCTAAGAGAGCTTCCAGGCAGTGGTTGCACAAGCGCGAAGGGGCTGTGAGCTTAGGCCAATGAGTAATGTACAAACGATGCTGTGGTCCTCGATCAAAACATCAAAAATAGACGAGAGCAAGCATTCAGACAAGCTGCGGAGCTCCTCTACGAGACAACGGTGGAATTGTGCCCAACTCATCAATTAGCGAATTGAAGGCAAAACTAGGGCATTAACGCATGAGTTGGCTGTCAGGAAGTTGACAGTGCCTAGCACTGTACTTAGCTTGTAGTGCCAGGGGCCAGGCCCTGGAGGGTGTGTGTCTGGGCGTGTTCGTGCCCAATTCCCCTCCCTAAGTCCAGTTAACCGTAATCCCGACCGGGATTTGCCAAAGGGCTGTCTTACATAAGCCAGTCCCCACCAGTGAGAGTCCAAGCTGGTATCGTCACCGCTCTCACCTACTGAACCTCCTACAAGGAAATCCCATGAACATCACTTAATATGCTGCTTCTATAGCGGCTTCCACTGGCTATCACGGAGCGAGAACTCTTCCCTATCTCAAGACCCGATAAATTGCCCATATCATGGGGGCTGTAGCAATCGGGGCGAGGCGCTTCGCATTGGGCTGTTATGCTCCAGCCCAGGTTGAACCACCCGTCACCATGAATCTGGCCCAATTATGCCCAAAGAAGCTTCCTTGAATCTTCGACCAGTGGACCAAAACTGCGGGATTACTTACCACTTCACCAGATCCTCGAGGGAGTCCCCTGAAACTTCAAGCGCGTGCCAGGTGCTACCAAGCTCATGACATAGGCTTATTGAGAGCTGCGGTTGTCCTGTTCCTTAACAAGTTCAAGTAATGACGATCTCCACGCGCGAAACCAATAACCTCGTCTGCCTACTCTCACGAATCACTGTAGCACCCTACCGTTTTGAACTAGGTGGCGAATATTTGCTCCGTATCCAAACATTTTATCTCGCCCCGTCTTGTTGCTGTTGTCAAACGCAAGACTGTGACGCCCCTAACCTAGATTTTCATACACCAAGTCCTGCTGGGTGTGGATCTGAGATTTATATAAGTCAACAGCTTTACGCCTTCAAAGGTATAGCATGAGCAAGTATCATTTAATCCCAAGAACCAACTTCTTTGGTCAGCCGCCAATTCAAAGCAGTAACTCACCGCCTCTACTATATATCTACCCGAGGAAAGGAGCCACTTTAATCCCGTGGACAGTTAGATACCCATTATTCGGACTGCCGAGGAAGCTATTCTGCCAGGATATACCCGTCTAGGATTTCATTACAATTTCTCTCGTATATCTGCGTGTCTTGTTCTTGTTGCTGCCATTTTCGTTTTTATTTTCGAAATGATGGCTTCAAGACGGAGTCTTCCTATCCAGCCGGATTATGGATTTTCAAGCCCAGCTCCTAATGGAGCGCTCATTTCCTCAAGAAGGTATGAGGTTTCCGGTCCTGGATATTATACGGAGAGCTGACCAAGCCTAAAGTCCTGTCTACACGGACATTTCTCACACAAATTATGACAACTCGTACTATGCTACGACAAGGTAAGGCATATTATTTTCCGCATTCATGCACAAGGACTGAACGTCGTGTTCCAAGTGCGGCATATTCCACAGGTATTGCAGCTACATCATACGGCCAGATTACGCCGATGACATCCGGAGCTGACCTCATCCGTTCGGAGCCGATCTACTCACCCGGTGGCTTCACTATCGGATCCTCATCTTCAGTACATGGAACAGCTGGTCCAAGCTACGGCAGCACAAATTGGGGAGAGCCTCAAGGCAGGGTCTCGCCAGAAGAATATTTGGATGATTATGTTCCATCTCCAAGCCCTACGGATTACATGCCTGAGCCCTCCACTCGATCATCCGGCAAGTCCAAAAGCACAGGGAAAGGCCACTCCCAAAGGAAACCCTCCAACAGAGATGAGTTTGATGGACCACACCAATTCCTGCAAAGACCTTCGCCGGAATATATTGCGCAGCAGGAAAGGGAGCTGCCACATCTTCCTACAAACCTCGTAGTTCACGAGCAGGACAGTGTCCTGACACAGGTCAACGACCGCCTGTCCCAGTGTGCGTTTGACTTTGTAGCAAAATATCAATTTCCAATTCCTATTGAACAATCTACAAGACCTGTGGAGCGACCGCAGGATCGCGAGTGGACTGAGTGGGTATATCTCTTAAAGCGTTTAGCCACGAAAAGAAGGATTCCGGCCCGTGTTCTTTACAACGGGCAGATCAAGCAGTACGTTCAAACCACTTCGAAGCATTCGACCGGACGCTGATTTGTGTAGGTTTGTCACGATCCTGGAGAACTCCTTGGAGATGAGACATGCCGCGAAACACCAGTCTCGGCCATTGAAAGACGACCGCAACATCCTCCAGTTGATATCTGCTGGGATTCAAGTTGCCAAAATCTTGAAGGATAGCTCAGCCATGAGCTACTTAGACCATTTATACGTTACAACAGAAAGGCGGATTCAAGAGCGGAGCACCAACCGAGGTTTCCGTTCTTGATTGTCTCTGTCAAAATTTTCTATATCATCTCACTAATATTGTATATTCGGTGTTTGGTAATGCCAAGGGACACTTTGGAAGCCCACAGCCTGTGGTGCTACAGAATTGCCAATAGACATTGCTCTAGCGTAATGAGGCGTGAGAACTTCAGTGTAAGAGGCTTCGAGGATCGGACACTGGCCGCATCAGGACAGGAACCAGAAAGCCAGCCGGCTCGGATATAATGCGCAATAAGATACAAAAAGCATCGAATTCCCAGATTCGGTGAAATTCAGTGCCAAATATGGACAAAGGCAGGCCTTTCTCTCTGTTCAATGTCAGTCATCATTTGGCGTTATGGTCGGGCCATTGGACGCGAATATTTTTTTCATCTGGGAGGCAGCGTTTCCATCTTCCAATTGTTTTCTTTGGGAGGCTATACTTATTTAGCACAGGGTCAGAAGATTTGCTAAGCTTGATCTTATGAGGGCTGATGACGGTCTGCTATGGAGCCACAGTTCAATGCCCTGTGATGACGGGAAAGGTGTAGACATACTCAAGGTTCAAGAGCTGAGATGTATATAGTGAATTAACATTTGTTCACACCTCACATACCTTCTGAGTCAACCCACAAGTGAATATCAATGATTTCTATGGAAATGACCCCTTTTTTGTCGCCGCTTAGTTTCCGTTCCTTTTTCACTCAGATTTTAGCCAATATATTCCTGCTTAAGCATGCTACTGGAGCCAAACTAACGCACAAACTTTTCAATGGTGCACCGATTTGGTTCCAGTTTCTCTCTCGGGCTGGGTGAAGTAACTTCAGAGTCACTTAGGACCGTTTTAATCGGAGAGGTAGAAAGGGCTTGGATAAAACATGAAAAAACACTCTCTAAGGTGCCTAAGTGCAAAAATAGTGACCGCCCCCCCCCCCTCCCCTTCAAAAACTTAAAATGGTTGCTTGAGTATGAGGGTGTCTTTAGAGCTCACTACTTTTTTTAATAACTTAAAAAACAAACAAATAGAGCACTCATCACAAAAGGATGAGTTCTCCAAGGGTCTTTTAACAACTGACTTTGCATTTATTTTCCCCTCCTTTCCCTTCATCTACATTAAAAAAAGGACAGCTGAAAGAATGAAATCCACTCACCAAAGACGTAAAGAAGCAATACAAAAAGGAGATCCAGCTTGAGCTTCTGCATTTTCAAAATTATACCTATGCTTTGCTTAACCTTCTTAGCAGCTCTTACAAAATCAGTGGCTCAGATGTTTTTATAATGTGTTTGAAATTATAAGGGATAATAAGCGTCTGTTTGCTCAGCCAAATCCTTACCAATATTCAACACCATTCGGACTAGAACCTTGGATCATAAAAATTCTGCGAGCGTACGCAGGTCATAGCAAAGGACCTGTTGGTGGTGGTAACACTGCTGTAGCAAATCCTGCTAGTGACTTATTTATTAAAAGGTTAACTCTTTGAGTTCCTTGTTCAGATAAAGTAAACTTAACATTCCTGAAATCAATGAACAACTTTCAATAATGGACTGAGGTTAGACCAGGATACATCTCAGAATCTGAATAAGTCTAACATTGTTAGTGCACCTTTGTTGAGGCATTATTTCAAACTGATAAGTCACACAGATGATGCAAGGTTAATCGGCATACTTGATAGGTGTCAAGGAGGTCTCATATAATAACGGGGCGGCTGCGGCGTGAGTGCATGCTGAATGAGGGAGAGTCATGGCCACACCTGTACCAATGATCCTTAATGTGGGATTAGACTTTCAGACGTTGGGCCATTGATATGTATAGGCCTTGTTACAGCTCATGGTATCCTTTTGAATCCTGGCAAGCCAAAGGGTCCATATTATATTGGCCAAGACTGACTCCACTTAAGGGAGAAAAGATTGATATTGCGAAGTAAACTTCCTCCTTTCACAACCAATCAGTATGTCCATATTGGTGTATCGGTAACATTTCCGCCTCTCAAGAAAGCCTTAAGAACGCGGTAGCGCAGGGTTCGACTCCCTGATATGGAATGTTTCTTTTAACTTTTTTTGGTGAACCCAAGCTTTCAAGGCAGTTCCCCAAGTACACATCTCCCTGCTTGTTTTGCTTTGAGCGTCTTCCGTGCTTTCTTGAAATATGAACACCCTCAACTCCAAGTTATCTGTGAGTTCTAACTTCAAAGAACGGTGGCTGGAGCGGCATTGATCAAAGCTATTAGCTAGTTCGTGCAACTTAGGACATTATAATGCAAGTGTGAAGGATACTAGCTTAGGGCTCCATTCAGGAGGAATTCCTGGCGGTACCAGACATTTTGAAAGCTTCAGGGACGACAAATATCATGCTCAGCATTCCTACCTTTGAAAGGACATGTTTAAAATAAAATGCTAATCTCTTTGCTTGCACCCTCTTAGTGGTGCCATTTTTCCTGCTTGGCTTGGCATCTCATAGTATCGTTATCGTAGATTGAATTTACTAACCTTATCACAAGCGAGGCGTCCCTCGACCAATGCTGGAGCTCCAATATTCTTGACAACCAGCATCGGTAACAAAGATCATACTTTTACTCTTGCTGTTGACTTCGCCAGCACGTCCTTGCTGACCAAGCCAGGATGTTGATCTCTAATGATTGATACGATCGAGTCACACAGCATGGCGCAGAATTCCGACTCCGAGCAAAGTTATGGAGGGTTGGCAACGGAACCGGGCTCTCTTGGACAAAAGACAACACCAGCTTCACCTTCATCTGGACCTTCAGCTTCAGGAGATGGCCTTGGAGCGCTGAAAGAGAACTCTGATGTAGCAGATACAGGTCTTGTAGATGTTGGTCTGCCCTCTCCTCAACCTCAGATGGGTGGGGTTCCCATGGGACGTCCACAGTACCAACGAAATCAGCCTCAGCCCCCTCCTCCACATCAACCGCCTCCACCACCGGCTCCTCAGCAAGTCGGAAATTCCAATGATTCGCTCTCTCTGCAGCAGCTCAAACGCATCGTGAACGAGTTCCCCAAAGGCGAGCCCCTCCAATATGCTTTCAACTACGATGACACTGCGGCTTTTGAGGAGGAAATTGATGAATGGTTCTCATATAATCCGGCGGAGTTCAATCGATTGGTCCGAGCGAAGGATATATTTGATCGGCGTTGGAAGAAGCACTCCGGCAAATCTTGGTTGTCTTCTGAGGAACAAGTGAGACGGACGTTTGTTCAGGCTCAAGTTCAAGATCTGTATTCGGATGACCTTCGAAGACGTTCTAAGAGCTTGCAGGCGCTGCTACATATAATTTTAGGTGTCTGGCATGAAACGGCAGGATTTCAACCTAACGTTGCTCCGTCTAAAGGGAAGGAGAGGCCAGAGGAGGCTGGAAAGAAGGCCGATAGCCCATCGTCCTGGTTTCCATTTCTTTCCAAGCAAGAACCCAAGAATGCCTCAGACGATGGTGTTGTTATGAAGACATCCGAAAGCAAGACGAAAGCCACAAATTTCCAACTTGACCATATGAAAGCTGGTATATCATTAGTAGCAGATGCCAACGGCATACAGCAGTTCTTTGAGGTCATGCAGAATGCATTTCAGCGTTTATGGTAGGCATGCTGCGAATACATCGTACATGGGATCTGCTGACCATGCAGGGATGATGAGTACAGGGAAACTGTTTTAGTCGAGGAAGATATTCCCTTTATCCAAGATGAACTCGATAATGTCACAACAATAGTGTACTTGATTATTGAAGGCGTCAGGAAGGACCTTGATAGTCTGGGTTCAGTACGATCAAAACTCTGTAAGGTCTTGGCATGGTTCTGAAAGCACTTGCTAACAGTCTAAAGATGCGCTAGAGCCAGGCTTGGTTCAGTATTTTGTCATAATAACGGCGAGACTTAGGTGGGACGAAGCAAATGAGTTACCACAAACAAGAGTCAGTCGCACTGCGCTTTATCTAGAATATCTCTGACCATTTAGATATTCCTTCTTTTCTGGAAATCCATTCTACTAGTCTTTGGCGGAACAGGCGATGTCGATAAGGTCAAAAAAGCCACGGACGAATTGGCAAATCTTGGTTCTGAGGCCGGGAAGAAGATAACTGCTTCGCCTTTAGACTATCATATCTTTCGCCAAGAGATCACTTCCAAGTACCCAGCATACATTCCGCCACAGCCATTACTTCCGTTAGAACCTGAAAACAATTCAATCTTACCACCATTACCAAATCGGCCTAGCAGAACAAACGGCGCCAATGGCATCATCACTCCAGCCATGAACGTCAATAGCGGTGGGACATCTATTTTACATCAACCCGTCCATATTGCTACTCCAGCCCCGTCCCCACCGCCATCCCCACCAGTCGGTGGCAAGGCTGGAAAGAAGCAAAATTACCAGACGAATCAGAATTTCCCTTTCATGTATCCCCCCTTAGATTTTACGAGTAATGGTGCTGGTGGCAAAGGGCAAGCAGGTCTTCAAGACTTGCTTGTGGGTAGGAAATGGGAAGGAAGTGATATTCCAAAGTCCATTTTAGAGGCAGGCTCGCTGTTCGCTGAAAGAATGAGAATGACGAGAGCCATGCGCCAGCTATGGGATGAACGAGAAAAATTCCTGAAGTTCGAAAGAGGATGGGAAGACGACAACGATGATGACGAAGATGTTGAGGAACTAGATATCGAGTCAATACTTGCAGAGAAGCTTGCACCTGATAAGTCGAAACATGTGAAGCACGAAGTTGATTATGGGCCAAACCCACAAGTGGATTCAATCGTGAAAAAGAAGCTGGATCTAGTTGAACGCTTCTACGTAAGTCTGAAAACAAAACCTTTATCGACTGTTACTAAACTCTCCTTAGCAAGATTCGTTACCGCATTTCCAGTCGTTAGTCATTGTGCTCCTAAAGGCAGTATTAGCCAATGTAACTGCCTTAATTACACAGCCAGGTGGTCCTCAACAGGGTGGTCTGGCAAGTTATAGATCTGAGCCTAATCTTCGCGCTAATGGAGTTGGACAGCCAGTGAACCGGCAGCAGGATCCAGCAAATATACCATTGCCTAACACTCTAGATCCTTCAGATCTACCAGTCGAAGAAGTTGAGGCCATGAGGTCTCGAGAAATTACGGCAAAGGCTGTATCGGGGATCCTTCTCACGCTTCTGAAATGGTTCAAAGTATCACGTGAGTACGATTTACACATTATCTGGGGCCAAAGCTAACAAGGCAGATATTTTGAAGTTTGAGTACTTCACCCAGCTTTTGCTTGACTCGAACTATCTTCCATTAGTATTGAAACTTTTTGCGCACCAAGACGTCGATAAAGTCATAGACAGCAAGACAGACCGAGAAGATCTAAGGTATGGATTATACTAATCTCTGCTCCGACTTGCTAATTGTTTTCTTTAGCTTCTTTGCTTTCTGCAATGCGAATAGCGTGAATGCCCCTATAGAGCCTGAGGCAGAGGACGAAAGTGAAGATGATGCCGCACCACCACCAATAAAATTGCGCCGAGAATTACCTACGGCAATATCAGAAAATGAGGATAAACTTCCGGCTCTGACATTTCAAGAAGGCAAAGTTGAGGGTCGACGGTCTCCCCCAGAAGTAGATGAAATGGGGTACGCGACGACGGACCAACCATCTGAACCTATAACTGAGTTCTCGTGGCGAAATTTCTTCTCAAGTATAAATTTTCTAAGAATTATGCAGAAGATTTGCAAGAACAAGGCACATCGCAATCTATTGCTTGTGCAGTATAAGTCTTCCACTATATTAAAGAAAGCGCTGAAGATACCACAACCAGAACTACGGCTATATACCCTCAAACTATTTAAGAACCAGGTTCCATACTGCGGGAGAAAATGGCGGCAAGGCAACATGCGCGTTATTACTTCAATATACCTACACTGTCGGCCCGAACTGCGTGACGATTGGTTGGCTGGTAGTGACATTGATGCCGAAGTCGAAGAAGCGCTACCGTTGGAACAAGCGTTGAGAGCGCTTACGCACTGGCACAATATAAAACGATATCCGGATCAAATGGGGGCTGATACCAAACTCCTAGAAGAAGAGCATGACTTTTTCGTGCGAGAACTGGAGCGCATGGAGTGGATCGAAGACTCAATAGGCGAAGGCGAGAGTGCGGATGGAAGCGCCTGGGAAGGAAATGGTTGGTAATCATACATGATCCTGGCCATTCTTGTACGGGATGAAGCGGTGAATGATCTTATCACTTGGCGACGACAGAGGCTGATGCGTGCCAGAGCGCATTAGGGAGTTGACGCAACGCATAATGAAGGAAGTTCGCGATCCGTTGTCTTACGAGTTTTGTTGCATGTCGCGGTTACAGTAATTTTCCGAGAAAATTGTTTGCTTTGCGTTGAGGTGCTATAGGATGTTTGTTTTGTTTCTTTGTTTCTTATGGCGTTTTATGTCTAGTATTTACTATGCGCAGGGTTTACTCCAAGTGGAGTGACCCGAGTAAGGTGAGATCTGGCTTGCAGATCAAGTCGTCTGATAGAAGGATGAGAGAATGACATCCCACTTTCGTGTGATGAGGTCCAAAAGCAGATGTTGAATTGAATGCCATCATGTTAGGTTCTTGGCGCAAGCCATAGAAGTTCATGCTCAAGTTAGAGCTTACTAGGTGTAGTTAGTGTGTACGAGAGCTGCTTTGTGCATTCAGACTTCTAGAGCGTAGCAAAGGCGTTCGTGGCGTGTACCTATACTTGATGATCTACAGCGATCAAAGGGAGCATCTGCAAAAGCCGACATCATATAGTTTGGTCTGCGTCTTTATTGCTATTGCAATACACCATAACTCTCGCCGTATTTCCGCTTTAAATTTATATCTCCTCAGTTAGGAATTCAAACTGCCTATGGTCCTTTTTCTTTGTGATTTCGCTTATTGGTTCCAGGTCATGAGACCAATCGGCCATTGGTCACGGTTAGTGAGGACAGAATTAAAACTTAACATTACAATTAAGAGACGTGATGAGCTATTAACTTTGTGTGTAGTAAGTTATTTTACAGACTATTTATGGATTTGGCTGGT